ACTACCAAACAGGCTAATTAGGATTAAAGGGTTTAATGGCTTCTTGTTTGGACCTTTCTTAAGTTGTACAATGCTTCCAGTAATAGTTTTGAAACCATGCACAACACATGCGAGATATTAGTATTTCCAGAGTAGCATCTTGTTAGACCTATTTCCCCCAGAGCCAGGTCTGCTGTGATTATTAGATCTGGCTGCCCTTTCACACTATTTCTAAAGGAAAAGCAGGCTGATCTTTCCTGGTAATTGAAGTTAGTGAGATAAAAATATATCCTATGCAGTACATAATCCTCCCCTTCCGAAGTAACCCAGCACCTGTGGCAACAAAACATTAGAAAATTAATTCTATTTGCAGATGTCGTTACTCCTTTTTACTTTGCCCTGAAAATACTCTACAGCTCTCCAGAGAGTGGGGGTACTGTAATATGAAGGCAAACATAAGGTTTTTAAACTATTTTTAAATGTCAGTCATATCAACCATGACACTGTGCTGTGAAAGTGACAAACCTATAATATTAGCTACAGTTTTTATATAAAATCAATTATAAGGGATTCAGAATTAATCCATGAGTTGCTTAGTAGAACTTAGTGTGATGTATTCAAAATTTAACAAAAGCAGAAAATTAGGCACAACATGGTCAGCTTTATTGGTGTGTTTAAATACATACAAAAAATAAAAACCACTTTGCCATACAGACTGTGCTACATTAGTTACCATCTTATAGTGAGAGACGTGCAGGCAGCAGTGCCTTTGGCAGAGATGCCCCACCCCCTCAAATTAGCAACCAATGACATGAGCTAAAATCCTTAAACCGCCCCCATTCCACACCACACCCACCCCTTTCCTTTTAGTCACCAAGGTAACAGACTAAATGGTGCATCACATGATCTCCAGTTCCCTCTCAGCACTCGCTGGCCCGGGCTGAAAAGAGAGAGTCACAGTGAAATCTTCTAACTTAATACTATTCTACATGACAAAGACTAATGTTCTCTTCAACACACTCAGATTGGAACAGCAGGACAGCTCGGTTTTACCGACACACTGATTTAAGGAAACTAGTTTTAAAATCAAATTTATTAGGAGGGAAATTTATTCTGATTGTTTTTGAAAGAAGTGATCAGCATGTGGATTTTGTCTTCTGATAATGAGGTTCAGTATATGTTTGAACAGTTCCACTGTTCACATGGTATAACATAATTCATTATGGTACCAGTCTCATACAGACTAGGACCATCTTAATTCACAGTAGTGCTGCATCTCCACATTCTATCTAAACCAAGGCATATTTTACATAGCTTTAATACTGTGAAGGTTTTTCTTCATCAGCAAAAGAGTGTCTTTAACCTATATAATTTCTTATATAAAACAGACCTGACAAAAAGACTCTTTTATAATGGGTTTCAAAGTCACTCTTGGTATTACTTTAGCACTGCAGTGTGAATAAGATTCTAACAGATCTTCCAGACTAAACTGATCTGTGCATCTTCCACATCTGCATTTGCAGACTGCGGTTATAATTTGTGCTCGTACCCCTGCCAGCATTACATCTGCCTAGCTTTTGAACAGACAAACAGCAGAGAGAATTCCCTTTGGAGAGCCACACTCTTGTTCCTACGAGCCGTGTGACTCGTGGCCCCGAGGAGCGAGCGTGTGGGGCAGCAGTACTCTCCAAACTGGAGACCAGAGCATCGTGGGAGACAGTGCCGTCAGGCTAATTAAAGCTGCAAGAGTCACAGAGGAGGAAGCTGTACTTCCGCAGTGGAAGAGACAGGTCCCTCTATAGAATGAGCGACTGCTAGCCACTCCAGGGGCTGAACGAGGTCCTCTTGTGCTTAAACAGCTCCTCAGTATCACACATTTAATCTGAATCGCTCCAGAAAGAGTGATTGCAAACCTACTGCTCACGACCTTTCAACTTAGATGTAGTGAGAAGTTAACAAATGTAACGAAAGTGCTTGAGCAGCCACCATGACCACTGGATCAGAGAAAACGAAAGAGGAATCTGGTCAACAGGTCCAGAATTTTGTCAAACTTCTGGGAATATTTTCTTGAACCAGCACTGTACTTGCACAGTTAAAGTGTTACATTAATGTACATAGCCAGCCAAAACTGTAAACGGGTTGAAATACCATTTTTAGGACATTTTGTTTATTTTAAATGTTTATATATAAATATTGAAAAATCTTTTCATTGTTTAATGGAAGCACTATCATACAAAATACCCCATCTCCTATTCCAAGCACACATCCCATAATTCATAACCATGTTTCTGAGATCAAGCAGACATCTAAGATCTACCTGCCTGGCTTCAGAAGATCCTTGTTAAGAGCAGTGGTCACAGTGCAGCTGTAGCAGCTCTCCAGAGCAAAGAGTCTCTTCACACTGTTCTACTCTCTAACACTGAACAAGACTGGCAGCTTAGCTCTGTCTCAACCACACACCTTGGTCATTGAGTAGCTGCTGACCTGGAGCCCCTGCATGTCCGGTCCTGCGCCTCTTGTCCTGCTTGAATTTGCATCGGCAGTGTCCGCCTGTAGAGAGATTAGAAAGGCATGGTAAACCCCTGCAATACTAGCTTGACTGACCAATACTCATCACTGACCTTCAGTTTCTGAACTAAACTCAAAGTTTCCTACCTGAGACAGGAAATTGTGAAAAAAATTGTGGAATCATCTGGGGTATTTTTATGCCCTTTCCAGATTTAGATGAACTAACGCCAAATATTGGAAGCGTTCCTCTATAATTCTGTGCACACAATAAGTACCCATCAGTTCGGAATACATACTACCAGCACAATGTTCAGGTATGTTCTAGTCTGCTCCCCATTGTGCTAAGTGTTGTGTCTAGTACACATTCTACTGCATGTGACAGGGCCTCGTGACGCAGCACGTCCTGGGGTGTCCTGTAGGGGGGGGAGGTACTCACTGAGGAGGATGGTGATGCCGATCAGACACAGCACCGCCGACAGGATCAGGCCGCCCACTCGCAGTCGGTAATAATCTGGAGGGACACGGAGCAAGATGCCAACATAAACCACCACACGAGTTACCAACTGATGCCCATCGTCGACTTTCGGTTTTAGGACTCAACATGTAAACCAGAGATACTTCCAGGAAAAGTAATGATTAAGTTGTGGAATCATCTGGGGCATTTATACACTCTTTCTGAATTAAGATGAGCTGCCCAGAAGAATGAGAGTCCTTTTAAGTTCTGCACCCACGCTAAATACACACAACATCCGCGAGGGTTCGTTGCAGAAAACCCATCATGAATAGTTAAATTCACACATTAAATTCCACCCCTCTACTGTCGCATGATGCACTACACCATATTGTATGTTTGGTTAAAAGACATAAGTAACCCTCCACTACAGGATAATTAAAAGTAGTGATGAGATCTGGTATTCATTATAGTATCAAAACGAGACCTTGCCGAGACGCTGGGCACCGAGAGGCTCAAACACTCACTGGACTCGTCTCATATAGTCTGCTGTGCGCCAATTTCAATATTACTGTTTACACCCTTCAGCTCGGTTTCATTACGCTCCGCTCTTCTTTCAGCGGAGACCCTGTCAGCCAGAGTGAATCGTGGATAAGCGATTGTTCAATTGCTCGCATCGCAGATGACAAGACCCTACTTTACCGGTCAGTCTACATCAGGCCCTGCACAGCGCTCAGGGCGTGTTCTCGTCTGCTTGAGAGGGAAGCTCGGGGACGGGGGTGACGGACAGGAAGACAGGTGGGGCGAGATGGTTGGGTGTAGAGAGAGTGTGAAGGCGTGAGAATAGACGAGTCCTGTTCAATGTCAGCGAGTCTACAGGTCGAGCCTCTTGAGTGAAAGCAGTTTCATTACTCACCAAATTTAAAGGGATTGTCTTCATTGTCTTCATTTGAAGGACCTCAAAAACAAAGCAAAAGAGAGGGAAGTTAGCCGAGATCTGTTTTTTAAAATCACAGCACGTTTTGTTTGGAATGGCCCTGGCTGGCCTTCCTGAGATCTCCGAGGATCATTAAACCCCAGAGACATAAAGACACCAAGGGTGAACGCGTGCGGTCTAAACAGCGGGAGCATTTTCTCTTCGGAACGGCCCTCCGGAAGAGGCCATGGACACTCCGGGGATCGTGTGATCCCAGAGCATGATCCTCTGTCTGCAACGTTGTCTTTTCTTTTCCCTGGTACTTCTTCTGGGTGGCCGGTCTGTTTAAGACAAGTCCCAGAACTAGCAGGCGCAATCAGGCCAACTAAAAGCCCCCTTATCATAACTGAGGGGTTAATTATGGATTATACACCCTGTTCACTGTTGCTACACAAACTTTAGAGACATTAACAGTACAGCAGCCACTACATCTCCAGGAAACTCCAACCCACTTTCATTCTCTGCCACAGCAACGGCGATCACTGCGGAAACACAGAGGAACAGACATTAGCAGAATGACAAACCATACAAGTATCACCAACACTTCAAGAACAGACGGCCTGGTTAAAAATCAGGCTGCTTCACACTCACCTGTCAGCAGGACCAGAGCTGAGAGCTTTTCCATCTTCCACAGAGTCCGCCTGAAGAGGAAGGGAACAGAGTGGATTTCATCAGAGGAAAAAAGAAATTCCTGTACCCCATGAGTGAGATTTAAAAAAGACCAGACTTGGTTGAATTCAACTCAAAAGGCAAACCTGCAACATGGTTAAGAGCTGAACTGTTTCACTATTTCAGATTATTCCAGTTATTTCAACTATAGGTTCAATAGTGTAACTGGGCACTTGGCAGGTATGCAGGACTGCAGGATCAGGACTGGGAACTGTTGGTTTAATCACAACAAAAGAGTCCGCGTTTCTGGGGGAAGCCGAAGGTCCATCAGAGATAAATGCACTGATCAGCACTGAACTGCAGGGATTTACAAAACCTGAACAATTTAATATTCAAACAGTTATTAACATGGTACTTAATTAGAATGATCCCTACCTTGATGTCACCAGCATCTTGATTACTCAAGAATAATCAGTGAATCTAATAACATTAAATCCATCAACCACTTCTTGAAAGCAAAACAAGATTTTACTCACATCAACAGGCTGCAACATCCACATAAAACAAGGAGAAGCAATGAGACAAACACTACCAACGGCTTTGATGACAGAGAGGTCAACACCACAGGGAAACCTCTGTGGATATAGCAATCCCAGCCTGCCTCCTGCACACCCCCGGCTGCCTGCACAATGACTGGCTGTTCTTGAAGAGAACGCCACACTGGCTCCTATTATCCTCCGAACACACCCAGCTTCTCAGCTGACTACCCAGTGAAAACAGAGAAACGTATTTAGGAGAAAAGAGAATATGTTTTAATGTTACACAGACTGTGAAAGGCCTACAAAGTCTCAGATCTCTCTCCCTTACCTTGGGGTTGCTACTAGAACTGCCACCTTCAGACTCAAGTTCCAGAGGTTACTTCTCCAACATACAGACAATTCATTCAGCAGACCTGTCCTTGCAAATATCCCAGTTCTAGAAGGAATGTATCCTCTGCATTAGTTAAGAGCTAGCTAATTAACCCTATAATATCCATTGATTTTCAGAAAGGAACTTTTACACCAGTAGGACCTTTGACTAAACACTAACTTAAGCAAATATGCTAAAAGGCTTCATTGTATCCCTAATTTGAAAGAATTAATCTTTGTCTGACAGGAACCAGAAGTAAAATTCCTTTTCAGTTTTAACTTTGAGCTGAGCAAATAACTCGGAGAACGAATCGGACCACTTGTTTTTATTTCATGTCTGTCAGTGCAAATCTACTGAAACCATGGCAACAAGCATCAGATTATCCAACACTCAGATATAAGCAAGATAGCAAGATGTTGCAGCTGGGAAAACCTGGAATGGACTGAACTGTTGTGCAGTGGGACTCGGGCGCCCCCCCCCCCCATCTCTGACCAAAGCCGCAGGCTTTGAAGACATGCATGGCCACTCATCCATTCCTGTCCATTATAGCTTTGACACAATTGACTGGAACGACTATGGGAAGACAGCCTGCTCTTCATACTTTTACAATGTCTAGGAAATGCAGCCTTTTATGCGAACAAGCTCAATGCAGCATCCGGCCCAGGTTCTTCTGGATGCAGAATGTTTGCATTCCTGTGGAATGACATCCCTAGTGAAACCAGTGCAGCTGCACAGAATGGCCACTCGGGGAGGGTGTTCTGGGAAATGTTTCAACACAGAATGAGGAGTGTCACCCTGCAAAGACACCCAAAACGTGCCAATTAGCCAGCACTCTGAAAATATCCTATACTATTGAAATACCCGATTGGCCACATCAAAGAAACGTGGAAAGTTTTAACAATTAACTGCTAAGGTGTTGTGTGAAAACCCAACCTTTTTTTATTTAAAAAAGTAGACAATGGGGGTGGCATGGTGGGGCAGTGTCTGCATTGCTGCCTCACAGCTCTGGGGTCCTGAAACAAAGCGAGCTGCTGTCAGCGCAGACTTCTCCTCGACCGAAGCTTACCTGCTTCCTGGCCCAGTGGCTCCAGGATAGGCTCAGGGCCACCTTGACCCTGACCTGGATCAGCACTTCTTCTGATTGGATATATATATTTATTTTTTATTCACGACCTAACTGATTTTCAATTCCTGCTTTTAAAGAAGAGTATAAAAATGTATAATTCCTGGTGCACATTCAGTCTATACAAGAATTCCACCAACCCAATCTGGAGAAATAAACTCTTGCTTACACCTGGAGAGAGGAGGGAAGAGCTTGGACAAGTTGTGACATGGTGTGCACAGCCACAATGCAACTACAGCTGCAGCTCTGGAGATTTCCCCGAATTAATGAATGGAAAAAAATAACACTGCAAGACAAGTTGTGCAAATACGATAATCCTCTTTCAGGGAAAAAGTGGGAATCCACATCAAAAAGCTTTCATTAACAGAAATATTCTGCATGCCTTTTCTTCCTCGTGTTCATTAATACGCCCAATTTGGGTGGTTTTCTTTTTTAACTAAAGACCTTTGCATCATTACTGTGAATGGAAAGTTCAGACTGATTAACGTCTGCCTCGTGCGAGACCAGGGATTAATTATACCCACAATGCCCCTGGTCTCACACACTTGGAAAAATCTGTGGGCTCCAGTCTGGAGCTCAGTCAGGAAAATGCAGATTCTGGTACCACCTGTTAACCCCTGTCCTGGCTTGGCTGCACACAAAGCCAGAGCAGTTTCAAAACTGAGTTTGTGTATATCTTGGGGAATATTTGACATTAAACTTTTGAAAGCAACCCCACCTCCACCCCATGTTTATTTATTGATGCTTAAGTTAAAACTATTATTTCAGAGTAAGAAAAATTAAGGCAACTTTTTTCAGAAACAGATTTTAGATAAAATAAGGAAATCTGCAAAAGCAATTAGCTTGGGTAAAGCCTGGAAGTTTGAAAAATGAGACTTAAGGACTTTGGCTTTGGAAGAGCATGCTCCATTCTCAATGAGGAAGTGCAGAACATCAGGTAAGAAACAACTCCTTAATCAGACAGATATTTGATCTGAAAAGTCCAATTAGAGGTAGATCTCGGTCATTTTTTGGTGAGGAACTACTAGCTGAACCTATATGAACTTCTCAGGTGTAGCAGGTATAACAACAATAAGACTCAGACATTCACTCCTGGCCTAGGAGCGATACAGTTCTCCAGATTTTACAGGCCACAAACCCTAAAAGAGTAGCCACTGGAAAAAGTGGCAATATATACCAGTTGAATGAGAAATTAATTCAGATCAAACCATTAAGAGTCCAGGATGGAGTGAAAACCAGGAGATGCAGCACCCCCTCCATGATCAGGAGAGAATATTTGTGCCACAGGGCACAAGTCTCCTATAGAGTCCTAATATAGAACGTCAACCTAAAACTATTTCTAAAAAACGGGAAAGCTTGCATGGTGTTGATCAATTTAAGTGTGTAATTAATGATGGCCATTTTTCATTGCAAATGATCTTCATTAGCAATTGCATGCAACTGACTACAATCACATTCAATTCTTCTAATAAAATAAAACTGATGTAATGGTTAACTGGAAAACCCGGTAACCTGGAATGCCATAGAAAAGGACTGGAGACGTGTGGCTGAGGTATGACTTTCCTTCCTTGGTTAGCTGTCTGCTTGGGGAAGCGGGAGAGGTAAGTGGGTCATTTTTAAAAAAGCACGATGACAGACTGATGCCTAACTTCACTTGCAATCAAGAATTCACCTGTGACCCGAGGTCTGACAGGAGAAAGCAGATAGCCAGCAGTTCTGCTGCTGCAAGCAGAGGCCAGGTCAGGTTACAGAGTAAATGTTTGTCTGTTTGCACTGCCATTCCCTCACTCCCCAGACTGCCGCATGCCTTCCCATGAGCCTCCGCTCATGCCAGCTACAGGCGTCATACATTTCCCTGTAGCCAAGACCAGCAGGAACTACAAGATCCCCTCAGTCATTCTGCCACCTGGCCTTCAGAGTCATTTTAATTCAGCAGCTGTTAACGGGAAGATATATGTGGCATTAGACGTTAATCCATTTGAGATTTTTTGGTTTCCACAGAGCTGTAAAAGGTGGCTTCTGGAACCGAGCTCAATGGAAATGTAATTTGCATGACTTTGTAATTCATGCTCTTGGGGGGGGAGGGGTTCTTCTGATGTATAAAACCTGTCATTTCACAGTCCCCCAGTACAGCCCCATCAGCATTTCTACTGCGTTAACGCCAGTCAAGCCCCTTCACACCTCCAGCCCCACAGGCTCTCAGGCCTGGAGCCCCTCACACCCAGGACAATCAGCCTGCTGCTTCTTCCTCACAGCCGCTGCACACAGGCCTGTGATGTACACCTCCACTGAACTCACCGTCACTGCAGCAACCTGAGCAGGATGTTGGACTCCAGCCATCAGCCACCAGCACAGTGTAAGCTGTATCGGATAAGATGTGTTGTTTCCTTTGTTTAAAACTGTGGAGTCATCTCCACCTCACCACCTCACCACATGCACTGCACATCCACGTGGAATACTTTTGTATTTTCTCCATTCGTATCCTCGATTTCCGACAGCTTCCTACACATTGCATCAGACTTGGTCATACCTGCCTCTGAAAGCTTCGCTGCGGTTTCCAGGCGGCTCACTGAGTTACTGCGCGGCCTTTGTTTTGTTTTTTTACAGTGGAGTACTGATCTTGAAGTCTGTACTTCATGAAGGTCAGCACAGGGAACAGGAATGTTTTAAAGCACTTCTATAAATCGCAGGCGAGGCACTGTGTGCTGCAAAAATTAAGCCCTGTTAGAAGGTCTAAGCCCTGCTGCAAAACCAACCCCCACCCCTGCACGCGATGTTGGGCTTTTACAAAAGAGAATGCAGCCCCCCCCCCGGCACAGGAATCTCTGAGCCTGTTGCTAAATTGAGGGCGGATGCGCCAGTCGCAGGCGAGGCGAGATAGTGCGATGGCGAAGGGTCCGAGCTCCTCTCCAGCGAGAGGCACGGTGAAGCGCAAAGACGTGTCCGGCTCCCGACACGATTCAATATCCCGTCTCTCCTCACCAGCGGACAAGAGGAAATTTTCCACAGACCTTGTAAGGAGAAAGTTAATTCCCAGATAAGCCCCGGGCGCCTGGGACGACGCAATACGTTCAATATCGCACTGGGCTCTTAAGAGAGTCGCTAATCACAAGACCAGCGCCTCTCTTATCGCAAGCCACTCGATTCGGGTCTGAACTGAAACCCTGACCCCCTGACTGGGTTTTGTGTGCAAAGCGTCTGACACCGGTTGGCGCTGAGTCTCGCAGGCAAGGGTCCAACTGTTTTTATTTCAGTGGACTTTTCCCTTACCTCCTCTCCCCCACCCAAAAAATTAATAAAACGCCGGAGACAAAAGTGGTCCCACCCGGAGAGGAAAAGGCGTCGTAAATCTGTTGGTTATCGGCTAAGGAAAAGTTTAATTGACAGGAGAGAGAGCAAAAAATAAATAATAATAATTAATAAACATAAAAATAATAATCAGGAGACGAACTTGATCAATATCGTTAACTGAAACTTTCGTGCCGCATACAGTATTTATTAAACGCCCTAGAATTACATCAATAGATATTTATTTTAACTTATTGCTTAAGTACATATTCGTTACTACCATATCCTATTACAAACTAACGATTTATGTAGCACA